AACATTTATGTGGGTTTGTCCATGGGAAATGTAAGAAGAACTATTGGAGGGAGGACCACCTACCACTGCATGGCACCATCCTAGTGTAACAACTTGTTAGATAACTGTATGACTACAATTCTGAACAAGTAGCTATTTCTGTAGGTAGATGTTTGGCTCACTGGGGGGATGTTAAAAGCAACAGGAGGGAATCAAGCAAAAGGGAAGTCAGGCTGGGTTCCGCTCTTTTTTTTGTTAACAAAAGTGCCGCAGAAATATTATTTACCCATCTTGTGTTACACCAGTAGCTTTCTCATAACTTCTATTCATGTTTTTTTAGTACAAAATGCGTACCTGATTGATGCAAATTCTTGTTTTCAGAGAGCTTGAGATTTTGTTTGCATCACTCAATAGTTGCTTTGCCTGATCAGCAAATTCTCCACTTTGCCTTTCAGGGACTGTGCCCATAAACAAAGAGTAACTGTCAAACACAGAACATAAATTGTACTGCATGACATTAGATGCTTGGGAAGGAAGGTTTTTTCAGGGTTTTTATTCTAGTACTGCTGTGACTTTATGTGTGTGTGTTCCATGGTGAATGGTTACTTGAATGTTCTTTTCATGGTAAGATAGTAGCTCAACACCTATGAACTTACCATACTTATCAAAGGTTTTGTAGGAATAGACTAGGTACAATGCCTCAAATGCCAAAAAATGGACATGCGAGTCAAGTCATAGAGAGGTATTGTCCATATGCATTCCCAATATATAAAATATCTTTACTTTGAAACCTCACCTAAGCCCAGAGATCTTTTCGTAGAAAAAGAGCTGCAGGAGCTTATTAGCATAACTCATTAGCATATGCCACACCCTCTGACATCATTGGAAGTGTGTCAGAAGGCAACATCCACCACTCAGGCTCCACCCCAAAAATCTCCAGGTATTTCCCAACTCAGCTGGTGAGCCCCGTGGTCTCTCTCCGTGGTCTCTCATTCCAGTTCCAGAACACTCCTGCTACACCCTGGCGCTGTCAATACACTCTTGGGCCTGTCATTCCAGTCCCTGAACACTCCTGCTCCACCCTGGGGCTGTCATTCCACTCCGTGGTCTCTCATTCCAGTTCCAGAACACTCCTGCTCCACCCTGGGGCTGTCATTCCACTCTGTGGCCTGTCATCCCAGTCCCAGAACACTCCTGCTTCACCTTGGGGCTGTCATTCCACTCCTTGGTCTCTCATTCCAGTCCCTGAACACTCCTGCTCCACCCTGGGGCTGTCATTCCACCCCGTGGTGTCTCATTCCAGTTCCAGAACACTCCTGCTGCACCCTGGGGCTGTCATTCCACTCTGTGGTCTCTCATTCCAGTCCCTGAACACTCCTGCTACACCCTGGGGCTGTCATTCCACTCAGTGGGCTCTCAATTCCAGTCCCAGAACACTTCTGTTACTCCTAGGGGCTGTCATTCCACTCCGTGGGCACTCATTCCATTCCCAGAGAGTAGTGTATTTGGGCCCACAGACCCTAATGGAAAATCCATTCCGCATTTTTATTGCAACTCTACTTGTACTGTAATGTATTTCAATGGAGCCAATGCCAGTCAATTGGCATTCCTGGCTCCCATTATTTCCAATGGGCCTTCAAGTGTTTCCCATTGCTTCCAATGGGCAATCTGTTAGAAATGGAAAAGGGGATCCATATTGCTCTGCCCCTTCCAAGAACAAACTTATTCCCTCTTCAAGGGTTTTCAGAAAGCTACATACTCTTTTCCAATCTCACTTCAGCGCTAGTTCCTGTCCTCAAACTCACAGAAAGACCCAAACACTCTTGTTTTTGGTAGAATGACACCCCTCCCCTCCTCCACCTGGCTGTTGTGCATCCTACATGAAGCAGGCAGATGCAAGCCAATGCCAGTGGTCTGCATCCACCAACTCACACAGCAGAACCAGAAAAAAGTAAATAGATGGGGAAGGAAGGAAGCTAGCTTTGTGGCACCAAATTAGTTTTTAAAAGATCTCAAAATTACACTCAAAACAAACTCAAGGGGTGTTTCTCTCCCCTGGACTCACCACCAACCAGCCAGGCAGGCAGAAGCCTCCATGTGGAAGCCAACTCCTCCTCCCCCCCAACCCCTCACCTCAAAAAAACTTAAAATGAACTCAAGGGGCTTTTTTCCTGCAGGGGGACTCACAGGAAACCAGCCAAGCCAGTTCAAGGCTCCATGTGGGCATGCCAGCTCCCTCCCACACACCAAAAAAACAAATTGAAAACAGACTAACTCAAGGGCTTTTTTTCCTGCAGGGGGATTCACAGGCAACCAGCCAAGCCAGTTCAAGGCTCCATGTGGGCATGCCAGCTCCTCCCCCCCCCCACCAAAACAAACAAATTCAAAACGGACTCACTGAAGGGCTTTTTTTCTGCATGGGGACTCACAGGCAACCAGCCAAACCAGTTCAAGGTTCCATGTGGGCATGCCAGCTCCTCCTCCACCACCACCACCAAAACAAATAAATTCAAAACAGACTCACTCATGGGCTTTTTTTCTGCACCAGGACTCACAGGCAACCAGCCAAGCCAGTTCAAGGCTCCAGTTCGGGAACCTTGGGACGGGGTGGCCAGACCTCCCGGGGCACCACGGATCTCCGCGGCCCCAGGAAGCGCAGTGAGGGGTGGCCGGGCCTCCCAAGCTGCCACGAATCTCCGCGGCTCCGGGAAGTGCAGGGAGGGGTGGCCAGGCTTCCCGGGGCACCGCGGATCTCCGCAACCCTGTGAAGCCCCGCCCCCTGGGCTCCTCACTCCCAGAGCGGCGCTCCGGAGAGCTCCGGCTCCATCCGGCCCCTGCCTACGCCTAAGTGTTTCCTGCAATACCATTTACATCTGGGCTGTCTTCCAATTGCCTGATGTATAAGTCCCAAAATAAATAAATAAATAAATAAATATGTACGGAGCCCCTGGATAATCAAACTCATTGTAAGATTTCACATGGCTACCATTAGACATCTGATATGTCTTGGGGCACCAACCTTTATTTGTGTGCCAGGAATCTATCTGCTAGGTCAATGGTCTTCAATCTATGGGTCAGGACTTCAGGTGGGTTGCAGAGCCCCACATGCTGAGTTCAACCCCCTTTAGAGCTGCATTTTAGTTCCATTTTGGAACCTGCTGCATGTGGTCATGTGTTGAGAGTAAAATTATGATCCCTGTCTTCTCCTTACACATACACTGAGAGAAGAAGAAGGAAAATAAGGCAAAGGAAATGGTTCCTTTTTTAGAAGAAGAGAAGAAGAAAAGATTGGATTTATACCTCGCCCTTCACTACCCAAAGGAGTCTCAGAGTGGCTTACAAACTCCTTTCCCTTCCCCTCCCCACAACAGACACCCTGTGAGGTAGGTGGGGCTGAGAGAACTCTGACAGAAACTTCTGTTTTTCAAGAACAGCTGTGCCAGAATTATGGCTTGCCCAAGGTCATCCAGCCAGGTGCAAGTGGAGGAGTAGGGAATCAAACCTGGTTCTCCCAGATTAGAGTCCACACACTTAACCACTACACCAAACTAGCACAGGCAGGTTCAGTGACCATGGATCCTCCTCTTCCTGTCACATGACTTTCACTTGTCCATGATGTTGTGTTACTCCTTGTCACATGCTTGTATGCATTCTGTGGTCTGGGAATTAGTGGGTCCCATACAGGGGTCATTTCGTAGAAAAAGAGCTAGGGGGACTCATTAGCATAACTCATTAGCATATGTCACACCCCCTGACATCACCGGAAGTGTGTCCTCCCCACAGCCGGCGGCGACCTCCAGCGGGCACCAGCAGGGAGCTCCAGGCCCCGCCCTCCCGCACCTCACCCGGGGGGATGGCGTCCCCCCGCGTCCCCCCCCCCCCAAATGACCCCTGGTCCCATATATAGAATGCTTGAAGACGACTTTCTGGATGGGTGTTCTGCTTTACTGGGTATTTTAATCTACAGGTTTTGCCATTCTTTCAGTATAGTTAGTTACATAAACAATTATGATATTGGAATGTAATCTGATCCATGTATCACTCTCCTATTGTTAAGAAGAAATTCTCATGTGTTTATTATTATTTCTTTGGCAATTGCTTACCTTTTTTTCTTTGCATATCTAGAATTAATTGTCATCATCATCCAAGTTTCATTCCACGTGATACTAAATCTAATAACATTTCTCCAGCATGTATCTCTGGTAGTATTTAATACATTAAATGTATGACGGGCATTTTCACATTGAGTATTTCTCCACCCCTCCATGCAACAACCAGTGAATTGGGATGCTGAATGGAATGATGTCATGCTTCACATTTCTTTTTTGAGATGTCACAGGACATACATGCGAGAGATGCAGCTTGCAACTGGTCCCCATAACACCTGAGTCACTGACTTTTAAATGTGCAGCTTAGTCTTAAAGGTTGAGGGGTTTTACCTTGTACACTGCTGGAGGGGAGTGCCTTATATCCAAGATACCATGGTTCTGGTGTATTCATTTTTCATGACTGGACTATAGACTCAAAAGCTATGCTTGGAATGTGAAAGAGCAAGGTCCTGCCAATAGAACTTTAACAGAACTCTGTGTGTTCCTCTTAGTCTCATTAAGATTGATTTTGCAAAGCGAACTGTAAATATCAAGCCATCCATTAATGCCCAATGGGAGTTCTTTGTCCTCTCTCTTTTCTCATTGTGATGTTCTGTTTTGCTATGATCTTTACTTAGGCGCTTTAAGGTCTTTTCACAAAAATCCCAACTTCGGTCATATATTTACTAGTGGTCCTGAAGAACCCTATCGCAGCAGTTTTTCCCCCTGCAGCTTAGAGTTAAGTGCTTAATTAAATTGCATTTTTCCTCCCTCTTTGGCTTCAGCAGCTACTTTGACTAGGTGAGGTGTAATTTCACTGCACCATCATGCCTATGCCTAGTAAATTATCTCAGCATTCCTAGTCACTAACTCAGATGGTTCTCTGTCCCTTGAAGACATGTGTTGATACGGCACACCTATCAGGCAGCTTGAATGCTGGTTCTGGAGCAGATGTTGATGGGATGCGAGTTCAGTGTTGAAGATGGAAGAAATGCCAGAGTAGGTAAATAATGAGGAGGAATCTGTGCTGAAGCAGCTGAAGGTGGCATAACCCTAGAGGATAATTCATATGCTGAATCAGGAGCAGATGTCAATAGAGACAGCTTGTCTGTGTATTTGGATGCTGATTCAGTCGCAACTAGCATTGATGGGATAGGCTTGTCAGACATCCTGTTTATAAAGACCAATGTTGACTGTAAAATGGCGGGTTGTTAGAGGGAGGTGACATTTTGCTACAGGCAATAAGCACAGAAGAAACATCTTTCAAAAAATGACAACACGACAGATTTTTCAATGTTCTATTGAAAAACCATAACAGCAAACAGATTTTGCCTTTAAAAACTGCGGTTAAATATTCTCCAATATGGGAGACACCTTAATGTGGCCATATTACTTATTTGCCATGCCAAAATGGCACAGTCATTCTTTGGTCGTGCAGAGGAGAGGTGGAGTCTGGTAGGCCACTTCCCTGTCTGAGAAAGGCTTCTCCTCCAACTTGCTGTTGAATGTTTTGTGCTGTTTGTACGTCTGCTGGGTTTTGACTTCAGAGTTTCACAGATGGAATGAAGAGTGTCTCTGTGTAAATGCAATGTGGACTATAGCCATTTAAATACGTAAAGCAAGCTTCTGGGTCAGTGGCTTGAACAGCCCACTCTAACTGGCTGCCTTTGCCTTATCCCACCTTCAGTTTCATGAATATGAGGTCATATGTGTCTTTCCTTTATCAGGAAAGTTATTTAATGCTATTTGTTTGCAAGGTCATGTCAAACCAAAGGCACTGGGGGTACAGGAGACATTGACTCAGTGCATTCCTTGTGTGAAATTATTATTTAATTAAGCTGACTATGGGTAGTGTGATTGCTGAAAGTGGTCCACTCATAAGGGGGACCAGGTCTCCTGCTATAGAAATGTGGGGGTGTGGTGAGAGAAAGTGCCATTGCATCAACACCATGGTGTCACTTCTGGTTATTTAGGTAACCCAAAAAGTTGGAAAAAAGAAAAAAAAACTTAATTACATATGGAAATATAAATGCCAATTACAAAAAAGCTAAAATAATATTTCAACAACTTTAATCAAATTATAAATATTAACAACTGTGCATCAAAATTTTTGGTTACATATAAAGGTTCTTTCCCGTGGTGTAAATTTTTAGTAAAATCACATTTGTACACATGGGGACACAACTACAAGCATCTTTCCTATGACCGGGTACAATTAGAAATAACGTAAAATAATTGTTAACCAAACCTAATGCATTTTGACCATGAAGTCTTCCTCAGTGGTTTAAATTTGTACAATACACACTATACAATATTCTTGTTAAAATTACAGGGGTTAGCTGCCAACCTTAATTAAGTGTAAGATTCATCATGGGAAGGCTATGCTGAGGAAGGGGATCTTGTGGAAAAGCTTGAATGCAAAGAGGACAAATAGGCTTTTTTCAAAATTGTGGGGAGGCATGGGAGAAGACTAAGCATCTCTTCATAAATAATACACTCTGTTTATTTTGTACAGGAAACGCCATCAGACCCATCGCCCTACGCGCCGTTTCTGCTATAGCGTCTGCTGTTCCAGGGTTTCCCATTCTAGCAACAGGAGGAATTGAGTCGGCTGAAAGTGGCCTGCAGTTTCTTCACAGTGGTGCTTCTGTTTTACAGGTATTGTTTTTGCACTTAAAAAAATAATTGTATGTTTATTAAAAGTGTGCTTTACCATAAAACTGAGCATTTTGCCTTAAAGCAGGAAGAGGGGGAAGCCCAGTGTAGATTTTCCATATTCATTTCACCTGTTTCTGGGGCACAATTATTATGAATAACGCTGAGCCAAAAGGGAGAGGCAAGTGTCACAAGAAATTGTACTGCTTGTTAAACAAGAAGTGAAACAGGACCCCATTCCCCTTTCAGTCATAATTTGTGGGGGCTGCAAAAGGAGGCAGAAATGTTCCCCATTCCAAATGATGGCAGAGTAGTTCTTCTCTTACCTGTTTTGGTTTCATGATGTCATCACACAGGCAAAATGCTGTGTGGAACCATGATACCATCATGTTGACTATACCAGCAGTTCCCAGTCTTTTTGGTATGGTGACCCACATGTCCAAATTTACTTGGTTTTACCTATCCAGGACTGGCCCAAGGTTTTTTGGCACCCTATACAAACTATGATCTCGGCACCCATCAAGTTCAGCAAGCCCCTTAGCCATCTTCAGGTCCAGTGTTGGACCAATTCAGCCTGCTCTCACAAGCCAAGATAGACATGATCCTAGATGCTATGAAGCCCACCACTTTCCTCTTTGACCTGTGTTTGTCATGGTTGGTTAAGGCAGGCAGTGTTGGAACACAGGCTTCCGTGATGGACATCGTAAATCTGTCCCTGAGCTCAGGGGTCTTCCCTGGGAGTTTAAAGGAGGCAGTGATTAGGCCATTCTAGAAAAAAAACCATCCTTAGATCCTAGTGGTCTGGCCAACTACTGCCCAGTGTTGAACTTACAGTTCCTGGAAAAGGGAGTTAAGAGAGCAGTAGCGGTGCAGCTCCAGGTTTTCTTGGATGAAACCTCAGCCTTGGATCCCTTCCAATCTTGGTTCCAACCTGGCCATGGGATGGAGATGGCTTTGGTCATTTTCACCGATGATCTCCACAGGGAGCTGGATTGAGGTGGTCAGCGCTGCTGATATTGTGTGACTTATCATCAGCATTTGGCACAGTTGATTATGACCTTTTGACCCACCACCTCACTGACATGGGGATTTGGGGGACACGGTTATAGTGGTATACCTCCTTTCTCCAAGGACAGGGACAGAGGGTGGTGCTAGGGGAAAAGTGGAGTCCCTCAAGGGGCTATCCTCTCCTCAATGTTACATCTTTGTGTGCCCCCTTGCCCAGCTGGCACAGTATCATGGTCTGGGTTGTCACAGTACACTGATGACATCCAGCTCTATCTTCTGATAAGCGGCGAGCCAGAGGCTGCTCTAGAACATCTGGCCAGGGGTCTGGAGGCTGTGGTTGGTTGGTTGGTTAAAACAGAGCAGGCTGAAACTAAATCCAGTGAAGATGGAGGTCCTGTGGCTTGGTTGGGAGGACTGGGATGGATTGCCAACTCCCCTCTCTTGAAAGGGTGCTGTTGTCAGTTGCACTGTCCGTCAAGAGTTTGGGAGTGATCCTGGATGCCTCCTTTTCAGTGGAGGCCCAGGTCACTGAGGTGGTTAAGATGACGTTTTACCATCTCCGCCAGGCTAAACAGTTGGCCCCATAACTGTCACCCTCCAATCTAGCCACAGTGATCCATGCAATGGTCCCCTCGAGGCTAGATTACTGTAACTCACTCTGCATAAGGCTTCCCTTGAGGCTGATCTGGAAAATGCAACTGGTCCAGAACACAGCTGCGAGGGTTCTGAAAGGAACACACTTTAGAGTGCATATTGAACTGGTGCTCTATCAGCTGCACTGGCTCCATATTGAGGACTGGATCAAGTTCAAGGTTCTGGTGTTGACCTTTAAAGCCCTTAACGGTCAGGAGCCAGCATACCTTCAGGACTGCCTGTCCTGGTACATTGCCTGTAGAGCATTATGCTCAAGTGAAAATATCTACTGGTGGTCCCTGTCCCAAAGACTGTCCAGCTGTCTTCAGCCAGGGCCTTTTTGACCCTGGCTCTTCCAGGAGAGATCAGGGCCCTGGGTGATCTGGTAAAATTCCTCAAGGCTTGCAAAACAGAGTGGCTAACCAGATTTATTTGAGAAACCAGCAAACACTGCACAGAGGGTGCAGCTGCCCCCACTATGAGCCCCAAGCAAATGGCATTTTGACATACACAAGCTCTGCCTATTCATTCCAGCCTTTGACCACCCTCTCCTTCTCTCTCTAATGCCCCCTGAAATTCAAAGAAACTCACACTAGTAACTATCAGGACATGTTTTACTTGATCAACATGTATATGCAGTGGGGGGGAAACTAATGTATGACATGGAATATCAGGGTTTTCAGGGCCAGATGTTGGTTTCCAAAATATAAACAACAGCAATGGATAGGCCAAAGGTGGCCACTAGGGGGGCTTGCCTACTGTCCATTTTCCGACACTTTTTCCTTATCTACAGGTTGGGAAACACTGGGCTAAATGATCCCTGGTTACTTAGGTTCTGTACCCAGCAAAAAGGGGGGAAAATAATGGCACCAGTGCCAAGAACAAGGGAACAACATGAAAAAGTAAAGTTTTGGGATAACATAAACATAAGAACATAAGAGACGCCAATATTGAATCAGGCCAAAAACTCATCCAGTCCAACACTCTGTCACACAGTGGCCAAAAATACCAGGTGCCATCAGGAGGTCCACCAGTGGGGCCAAGACATTTTAAGCCCTCTCACTGTTGACCCCCCCCCCAAGCACCAATAAAACAGAGCATAACTTGCCCCAGAGCCCCTATCTATACCTTGTGGCTAATAGCCACTGATGGACCTTTGCTCCATATGCTTATCTAATTCCCTTTTGAAGCCATCCATGCTTGTAGCTGCCACCACTTCCTGTGGCAGTGAATTTCATGTGTTAATCACTCTTTGGGTGAAGAAGTACTTCCTTTTATCTGTTCTAACTCGACCGCTCAGCAATTTCATAGAGTGCCCACGAGTTCTTGTATTGTGAGAAGGGGAGAAAAGTCCCTCTTTCTCTACCTGCTCTATCCCATGCATAATCTTATAAACCTCGATCATGTCACCCCTCAGTTGTCTCTCCAAGCTAAAGAGCCCTAAGCGCTTTAACCTTTCCTCATAGGGAAAGTGTTCCAACCCTTTTATCATTCGAGTTCCCCTTTTCTGCATTTTTTCCAAAGCTATAATATCCTTTTTAAGGTGTGGTGACCAGAACTGCACACAGTATTCCAAATGAGGTCGCAGCATTGATTTATATAGAGGCATTATGATATTGGCTGATCTGTTTTCAATATCCTTCCTAATAATCCCCAGCATAGCATTGGCCTTTTTTATTGCAGTCACACACTGTCTTGACATTTTCAGTGAGTTATCTACTACAACTCCAAGATCTCTCTCTTGATCAGTCTCTGCCAGTTCAGACCCCATCAACGTGTATTTATATTTAGGATTTTTGGCTCCAATGTGCATCACCTTGCACTTGCCCACACTGAAACCCATTTGCCATGTTGACGCCCACTCGCCCATCCTTGACAGATCCCTTTAGAGTGCCTCACAATCCTCACTGGTTTTCACCACCCTGTACAACTTTGTATCATCCGCAAATTTAGCCACTGCTTACTCCCAACTCCAAATCATTAATGAACAAGTTAAAAAGCATTGGACCAAGTACTGATCCCTGTGGTACCCCACTGCTTACCACCCTCCACTGAGAAAATTCCCCATTTATACTCACTCTCTGTTTCTATTAATTAGCCAGTTTTTGATCCACAAAAGGACTTGTCCTTTTATCCCATGATTTTTGAGCTTACTTAGGAGCCTTCGATGAGGAACTTTATCAAAAGCTTTCTGGAAGTCAAGGTAAACAATATCTATTGGATCTCCCCTGTCCACATGTTTGTTCACCCCCTCAAAGAACACTAACAGGTTAGTGAGACAAAGATCTTCCCTTGCAAAGGGGGAAAAAAACCTTCTCTCCTTTAAACGTTTGGGTTTTGCGCTAATATTTGCACATGAAATCTCAGCAGATCTAGTTATCAAAATAAACATGTCAGTTGTGTTAACCAAGAATCCCTTGAATGGAAACCCTAGGTGAATGTAGCATGAAAAGTTATTATGGTAAATAATAACAGGGATGGCCAGAATATCTTGTATTGAATAAGATGAATATAAACTATTGTTAACTTATGCATAATTGTTGAGAAATTGTCATTTGGTAAGGTCAAAGTATGATTTGATAGGGTAATTGCTGGAAATTGGGGGTAATTAAGCATGATCCAGGAATTTATGTTGAAGGCCACTGTAATCCTTTATTAGTCTGTTTTGGAAACCATGATCTCATATGCAACCATGCGCAGCATTTGTGTATCATACTGTTCTTCCTGAAATGTACCATTTCAAAATGCAGGCAAGGATTTATTTTATTTATTTATTTATTTATTTATTTATTATCATGTTTGTACCCCGCCCTCCCCACAGAGCAGGCCCATTGCATTGTAATGGACTAAGAACCATTATAGTTCCATTTTGATAAGTAAAGGGTTAAGTAAATATCCCTGCAGATAGAAAGTTAACTCATGAAGATGAGAGTTACACTAGAATCTTTCATCTTGATGTGCTAGTTTCCATTGAGGGTTTATTTTTATTGTTTTACATAAAGGAACAAGAGATGCAAATGGGGACATTATAAACCAGGTTGAACCAGTATTTGTAGCTGCATTTTACTTCCAAAATTCAGTTTTTTTCCCATTAAAACAGATTTATTTGTTATGCAAACTGGGGCCCCAGTCACACGGGCTGGATATCGTGGGGGGGAGGCATGGCTAATTGCCCTGTCACAGTTTGATCTGCAATTACGCAGTCAGACCTGCCGGCGGCACACCACTGGTCCTTCCCTCAGCGCCGGCGGGTAAACGAGGGACCGGAGGGGAATGCCGCATGCCGGCGCGATCACACCATGGGAGTCTGGATGCAGCCCGTGGCAAACGTTTACTAGTACTTTGGAGGTACTACTTTTTTA